AGGGTGAATTGACAACCACAGACCTTATCAGGCTTGGAGAGCTGCCAGGCTGATATCTTCCAAACACAATGTTGTACAAGAAAACACTTGGCAAGGAGAGTCACAAACAAATCTTCACACTAATTAGGCGAACTAATTGTCTCCTGCAAACTCCACTCCCCTTTCACTCCTCTTTATTGCCTCTGGGAGGGGCCATTCACTGTCCACTTTGCCTTTACTCCCAAGTTGGCCCTTGTTCCTTAGTTGTTTCCTTCTCCTGGCAGCTCTGCACATGCGCACATTGGGAACAGGCTCCAGCTGTTCTTCTGCCCCACTGAACTCCGACTCCGAAGGCAGCTGATAACTGTCAGACGGCCCTGGCCTACGACACTGCCTACGACACAGAGCCCTCATCAGAGCCTTCCCCAGACTCCAGGACTGGCCCATGTTCCGCCGCAAATTCCTCCCTGTCCGAATCTGCTGCCAGCTCTGCTGGTAGGTCACATCACTTATCAGCAGGTAGGTCTGTTGAATAGTTGTTAGGTGACTGGTCGTAAATCAAGGATTGTTTCTATGAAGTTACTTGACTACCGTATTGATTTATATCCATCCACGGAGGCAGGTTGCTCCTGGCATTACTGCCGGCTCGGTGCACGCAAAGATTTTAGCAATCAGGCAGGGAACTGGTTGCTAAGATTTTTCAATCTCACCCCTGCATAAATGGCCTCTTTTACCTCTCTTTCAAACCAATGGTCCTCTCTATCCAGAATGTGGACTTTGCCATATTCGGAAGAGTGGCCTTTTTCTTTCAAATGCAGATGGACTGCTGAATCTCGTCCTGATGGCTTTGCTCTTCTATGTTGTGTTTTGTTTCCCCCAATGTACAAAAAGATTGCATCTCTCTTGCCTTATTCTGCTTCAAGCCCAAATAGGGTGGTACCCACAGGTGGCGTCACCACCTCCTTCAGCCAAGGTGTGTCCCTCTTCAAGACATTTGCTCATAAATAGAGTTTTTTATTTTATAACCATTGCTTAAAAGGATTCATTTTCTACTGGATCACTTCAGCACCAGGGGAATAAAAAGGCGTGAATATTGAATGAACTTCAACGGGCTTGAAGGATAACACCGTCACTCGTTAAAAAATTCAATTAACCTTATCTTTCTTTAACATGATTAATTATCCTACAGATAAATGACTCCTTGGGAAAAAAAGGTATCATCTTTTGAGCTGTACCTGTCTAACATGCTTGTCCCCCTTCCTTTTGCCAAACAAGTTGTCCTTTTCAGCATATTTGTATGTATGCAATAGGTAGATAGGGACGCAGAGGCTCAGTGGCTAAATGGAGTGAACTCCCGTGACTTGTCCCAGCTTCTGCCAACCTAGCAGTTTGAAAGCATGTAAAAATGCAAGTAGAAAAATAGGAACCACCTTTGGTGGGAAGGTNCATCTTATACTTCGAAAAATACGGTAGCTTGGTATCATACTACAGTTCGGTACTCGATCCATTTTTGTGTTAGGATATGCAGAAGAGACAGATGGTGGTTATTTTCCTTTTTTTCTGTTTCAGGTGGGTATGAACCCCCACTTACAAATGTCTTCACTATGCAGTGGTTCCTGACCCTGTTTGCTACATGCCTTCCTAACCATACAGTTTTAAAAATTTGGGATTCTGTATTCTTTGAGGGTTCAGAAATTATACTAAGAGTAGCATTGGCTATTTGGGCAAAACTCGAAGAGTAAGTATATTTCCACTTTATGTCTAAAAATAAGCTTGATAAATTTTGTAGAAAAGCTCTTTGAAATGTTATACGTTAAGTACTGAAAGTTATTGTTATGCACCTTCATTTCCCCCTTGTAGCATAAGATTTTGTTTTGTTTTGAATTTCTCTGTTTCACCATATCGATACATTTTCCCTCTTTCAATGAGGCTATGTTCACTTGCTCATGGAAAAGGCAATTGTTGGGTTGGAATCTAAAACCTTTGCCTTAAATTGAATTATTCTGTTCAGTGATGCTTTACTAGGTACATGAGAAACTGTGGGGTCTACATTATTAAAATGATGGCGATGATTTGTTTTTATATGCTGCCTCTTTTACCAGAATCAAAATTGAGGACATACCCTGTTTCCCTAAAATAAGACCTAGCATGTTTTTATGCCTGTGCCTAATATCAGCCCTAGCCTCAAAACAAGCTCTACTTAAGAGCTTGTGCAGCCACCCGCCCATTCTGCCATGAGGCAAGGGGTGGTGGAGCTGCCCTACATGCCCTGCGTTGGCTTACCTCAGGGCCTCCACAGCCAGGCCTTCTGTGCTCCCGACACCTACATCGCGGCAGCAGTACCAGCAACCATGCGCAGAAGGACCCCAAATAGCTGCCGACCCACTTCTTCTGCTTGCTTGCAGATTCCGCAGAGCAAGAGGCCGAATAGTATGCTGGTGCTGTGGCCACAAGGTGAGTCATGTGTCGGGGTATGGATGGCCTGACTATGGGAGACTTGAGGTAAGCTGGTGTAGGCACATAGATTAGCTCCACCCCTTGCCTTAGCTTGTAGCTGCAGCAGACACCCGTTGCTTGGCCTTTTGCTCAGTTGCAGCTGCGAGCAAGCAGAAGTGGGCTGGCAGTCGTGCAGGCTCCTGCTAGACATGGTTGGAGCCACTGCCGTGAGGCAAAACAAGTGTCACGGCATGAATGGCCTGGCTGTGGGAACCCTGAGGTAAGCCATTGCAGGGCAAATGGGGCAGCTCCACTCCCACACCACGGTGGCACTGGCATGCTGCACAGCCGCCTGCCCTGCCACGAGTAAGCAGAAGAAATAGGTCTAATGTATATGGAAAAAAATAAGACCCCCCCCTAAAAATAAGTCCTAGTGCTTATTTTGGGGCCCAAAACAAAATAAGACCAGTCTTAGTTTTGGGAAAACACAGGTAGTCCAATTTATACATACAGGCCAGCCTTAAATGTAATCCTAAAAAAGCAAGAAAAACATCTTAATAAAGCAAACAATGTACAATATAGGATTACAATATGTATAGTGACAGAAATATTTTTGTTGTGATGCAGGCAGGTCAATTCTTGTGAAACTGCAGATGACTTCTATGGCACCATGGGAAAATTAACGCAGGAGATGCTGGAAGATAAACTCATTGATAGCAATGAGCTCATGCAGGTTAGTAAGGAAATATGAAATTAGATTGGACTTAAACCAACGTAATATATCCTGTTAAAAATATTAAAAGTTAATTAAGTCACAGAGTCAAAGACTCAATCACTGACTTTTCTAAGTAAAACTGAGAAAGATTGCTTCAATCCCAGTGGAACTACTGTCATATCAGTCAGTGAGAAAATTGGGCTAATGATTGACATGAAATCCAACTTGCTATATATGTAACTGTTAAAGCTCTAGTAAAATTCTTAATCACTCTCTCTTAATAGCATATTGTTAATAACAGGATTCATTAAGGTAATATTTGCTTTCTATCAAACTTTGGCAAGTATATTAAAGCAAAAAATCTTATGAAAAATACAATGTTTTTTTTAAAATATAAAATGGTTGTCCATGTAAGTCTATCTATTCTCAATAATGTTTTAGATGTTAGTTTGTATAGCAATTTTTTTGGCTAAGGAATCCTGAGAACAAATAGTAAAATAACTAGGGCTGAGAATCACTGCTATAATGAGAAATACGTGGCAAATGTCAGCTTAAACTGCTCTCCAATCAGTTATGGTCTCCATTTTAGTGGTTTTGACTGATGTGCAAAATTACAATATACAGTCTTTTATGGCTAATAGTCAAGACTTCAAAAAATACACTGAATAGACAAATCTGGATTGTTTGCAGTCCAGATTTCTTAGCCCCCTAACATTTGTCAGAACAAAATTAATCTAATACCGTTAAGATAGTGACTCCTTATCCTCTTCTCTCAACAGCTAAGTCTTTATTATTTTGAAGATATTGCTGAGGAAGTGAAAATTATGTATTTCATTTCAGAAGAATAATATGTTATGGCTAGAAATGAAAACTCTCTCGCTGTGTGTTTGTGTGTGTGTGTGTTTGTGTGTGTGTGTGTGTGATTAAAAAACCCACTCACTGTCCAGAGATCAACAACACTAATGAAATGATATAGTCATTGTTTTATTTATGGAACAGATCATAAGAAAAAGGTTGCTATTGAAATAAATAATTTCTAGATTCCCTTAGACTCCTGCTCAGGAAAGAAAGTGGTAGAATAATAATGAAGAGACGATAACACTAATGTAGGGCAGAATTTACACTTGCAGTGCATGGGGGAGAGGTTGTTTACACATTTGTTGATTTTGTGCTGCTGAATTGCTTGCCCGCCACTATCAGTACAATGTGGGATTTTTCTCATTTTTCATGCACGATACACTGTTTGAGGTCTAGCAGATTTGCATATTAAGCCACAGGTCTTTAATCAAATTTATTTAAAAATGTAATGTAATCCAGAATTTCCCTCCAAAAAAGTTTTCAAAATTTCCTCTGGCATTATTTACTGTATGCCTTTTGTTCATTTCTTAAAATTGCAACATCTGTTAGTCCATAATTTCAGTTTGCAGAGGCTTATATTTAGAACAATATTTGAGAATAAGGAATCAGTATATTTTAATAAAAATATCTAAAATCAAGCAGTATATATAAATTTATTTTATAAAGACAATTCAATTCCCATTATTTTTCACATCAATGTGAAAGATTGTGCATGAAGAATTACCTGACCAAAATAAAGAACAAAAATGAGTTTTGAAAATAATACTGTAAATCTGAAGGATAGCTTGCCCCCTCTACCCTGTGGAGACTTTATTAACTAGTCTTATAATATCCAAAATTGCCTTATCAATGTTTTTTCAGTCCTAAGTATGTATTACAAGCATTTTCAAGTTTTCAGTTTTTTTTACTATTACTGTCATATATCAGTCTTAATAAAATCTTGATAGTTTTGATTATTTATTGGATGACCAACTGTAGAAGTACTGAAAAAAATGAGAAACCAACTTGACACAACAGAGTTAGTTTTCTTGTTGTGATATAATGCACTATAGTAATTTCACTGAACAAGCTGAAACCATTTGCACAAATATTAGTCCAAAGTCACTTAATGAAGTGTTGAGATATTGAGAAATCCATAAAAGAGAAAATTTCTTTATATAAGTAACAGACATATTTCTACGAATATATCAGTTGCAGTTGATACAGACTCTCTCTTTAAAATTGAAATCATATAGTTCAGACTCCAATGCATTGAGGACAAATGCATTTAAGGTATAAAATAAATAGCTGTTAGATACATACGCATGGTTTGCTGTGCAAACAAATTCCTTTGAATACAAGAAATACATGCATTCACCGCTTTTTCATTATTTTCAGCCTAACATTTCTATTATCTCCATTGGTTATTTCAGGAGTTGACTGGTTATATTTCTTGTGGATTATTCTTTGTATTCCTACAGATAATTTTTGTTGCATTCGTAAAAATCAAGCTTTTCATATTTGCTTTTGTAAATGTGGAAAAGTTATTGCCTAATCTTGCAAATATTATGGGGATTACCTTGTATTTGTATTTGCATAAAAAGTGTCCCAAAGCCATTCTTTTCTTCAGTTTCTTTTCTCTCTTTTTTCATAGATGGTTTATTCTATGGCCCAGTTCCCCTTCCCTCAGCTATCTGAATTAAGGGAGAAATATACATACAACATTACACCATTTCCTGCTACGGTAAAATCAACTGCAAGGTAAGGCATTTTCTGACTTTTTGTCATGTAAGTAAAGAAAGATAGATCTTAAGGAATCGCTCAAATTATTATTCTGTGTGCCCTCGGTTTTTAGCCGACTGGGAAAAATAAAAGACAGCGATGAAGAAAATGAAATAGATGATGAAGACTCCCTAGCAAATGTTATTGGATGTCTTGGACCATTTAGTGGATTTTTGGCTCCAGAATTACAGAAGTATCAAAAGCATTTCAAAGGTAAATATTAATTTCTTAAATTTCAATAATTTTAAAGGAGGGGTGTTCAGTTGCTTTATGAGGCTTTGTTGCTGAGACTAATTTCATTTCCTCAATTCTTATTCCCAGTTGGATCTAAGTTGATAATCATGTTTGTTTAATGTTTGTTTGTTTATTAACATTTGTAGGCCGCCCTTTTCCCTGAGGGGACTCAGGGNTAGGCTAATGGACAAAGTTAACCCATGATTGGATTCCCCTCGCAGCACACATAGAAGGACCATTCAGGTAAGTCATAATTCTAATTTAAAATAAAAATGTAAAATTCTGGGTTGAAACCATAAGTGCTATTTAAAATTCGAAGGTGTTTAAGATAATATCATTAAATAGGAATCTATGAGACCAGATTGACCATATCGGAAATCTTAGCTAAAAACCTTGATTTGATGCATGTGTATACAAGTTAGAAATAGTAGATTGTAGACACTTTTACTTCTCGGTAAGGTCTAACAATGTGTCAAAAACAGTTATAAATGAGGTGGTAGACAAAAAAAATTCTAATATAGCAATTACAGATTTGAAGGATTGTGCTATTTAAGTATTACCCAGGAAAGTTTTGAGATTTTCTGCATCAAGTGAAGTTTTTACATTTTTAAATATTAAAGAGCAAAGTAGAGCCTGTAAATATTTGACAAGATTGTTTTTATGGGGCTTCAAAAATATTTTAACATGCTTTAGTTTTATCTTGTGATCTCAGTTGGCTTCCTATTCAAGTAAGAGTAAGATCTCACCCAGTTTAGCTTTTCTGAGATCACATGTTCAGCTTGATCACATGCTAAATTGGTTAAGAGGGAGTCAATATATTATAAATTAAAAAATGGCATTCCATGAATATGATTATCTACAACATTAATGATTACTTTTAGCTTTTTGAATTCGTAAGAAGCTGAAATTGAACACAATGATATACCGTATTTTTTAGAGTGCATAAGATACATCGGAGTATAAGACGCAGCAAGGTTTTGAAGAGTAAATTTTTTTTAAAGAGTTTTTGCACTCTGCAAACCTCCCAAAAACGAGAGGTTTGCAGAGTGAAAATGGACCCATTTTTTTTTTCAAATGGGAGGTTTGCAGTATGAAAACAGGCCCATTTTTTTCACAAAAAGGCATGAATAGCCCTTAGGAGGCTTGTAGAGTGCTCCTGGGGGGGGAGGGGGAAGCAAAACAAGCAAAAAATGGCCTGTTTTTTGCGAAAATGTGTCTGTTTTTTGTCAAAAAAAAAAGGTCATGAATAGCCTTTAGGAAGCTTATAGAGCTGCCGGGGGCTGGGGGGGGGGCAAAAATGGGCTGTTTTTTGCTCATTTCTGCCCTCCCCAGCTCCCAGGAACTCTCTGAAAGCCTTCTAAAAGCTATGCACGGCCATTTTGGTGAAGGGGCGGAGTTTCGGGAGGCAAAAATTGCTGTATTCGGTGTATAAGACACACCCAAATTTTCAGCCTTTTTTTTTTTGAGGGAAAAAGGTCCATCTTATACTTCGAAAAATACGGTAGCTTGGTATCATACTACAGTTCGGTACTCGATCCATTTTTGTGTTAGGATATGCAGAAGAGACAGATGGTGGTTATTTTCCTTTTTTTCTGTTTCACTATTTCCCAGTGATTCACTTTTTTTTTTT